CTGAAGATTAAATCAGCGAGAGCTACATAAGTTATTCACAGAAACTTTTCATGAATGGTTAGGCCAGACGGTAAGCAACTAAATCTTACGGAACACTTATAAATAATATATGTCTTGCTTTTTATATCGACATCAATGCAAATTAATTCACCATTCATGTGTAATAGGTTTGGAGTGGGAGAGAAGTTAGTGAAGAAGTTAAATGGCTTTCTCAAGGTCCGAATAGAATAGTTAAAAGATATAATGCCTTCCTCATTAATGGGTTCAAGCTTCACACGAAATCTCGTGAAAGATTAAGGAGGACACAAAATTGTGGAGTCGTAGTTACTTCATCAACTACAAGTTATGCTACTGTAAGGGACAATAATTCGCAGGATGAAGAGGTCGATTATTATGGAAATCTTACGGACATTATTGAGTTAGATTATTATGGAAAACGAAAGGTTGTGTTGTTTCGGTGTGACTGGGTTGATGTAAACAGATGTATAAAAAGAGATAAATTCGGGTTTTCAATGGTGAATTTCTCTCGATTAATTCACATGGGTCAACGTTTGATGGATGAACCATATGTATTTTCCTCTCAAGTGAAACAAGTATTTTATTGTCACGATCCAATGGATGACGGTTGGTATGTTGTGCTTCGAAATACTCCCAGAGACTTGATAGACATCGGGGATGGAAGTAGAGATGACATTGAAACAAGATCAGAGTGTTTACCTCTACTACCACAAAACTTAGATGAAACTATCAGTAATACAACACAATTTCAATGGGTTCGGGAGGACGTTGATGAAGATATTTATGACAACTGACATTACATAAGACTGTTGTACGATTTTATATCTTCATTTATTTATTTATAATGTTATAACCCTTAATATGTTGTCTTTCAATGTATTAATTAATTAAATCATTTTTTATTACTCATGTTTGTTTATTACAGATATAATGCCGAGGAGAAAAATATCTGATTTGCGGGTTGTTCGAGCTTCTGAAGACCATGTAGAAAGAAATAACGAGGAAACGAATGCACATGAGTCTTCCGAAGTTCCTGAAACTGTTGAAGAAGTAGAAATTCAAGGTAATCTTCGAAACTTTATTTACTACTTTGTTCATTTTCAAAACTGACATTTAATAATTTCTTATATAGTTGAAAATGCTGGAACGCGCAAGACTCGAGGACGTACAACTTTAAAGGAATTATACCAACTTCCTCCTGGGCATCGTGTCAAAGTTTCAAAAAACGATGCCAGTCAACCTATTGGCCCATAATCACGTCTTCTAGCAGGTTACTTAGGCATAGTTGGACGTAATGCGAATCTGTTACCGATCAATTATGAGTCATGGCGCAAAATGCCTAATAGTAACAAAAATCAAGCGTTGGATTTTGTTAAGGTAATAATGTCATTTTAATAGATACTCTATATAAATTCAATACTAATTTATACTTACGGTGCACACTTATTTGTTGTATAGGAGAAGTTTGTTTTAGAGGTCTCTGACGATTATGTGAAGCAAGCGTTAGGGAAGAGATGGAGGGATCACAAGAGCTCCTTAAAGAAGAAATACTTCAAGAATGATCTCAGCCTTGAAGAGAAGTTGCAAACAGTCCCACCAGGAATGCTCAGGTACCAATGGGAAGATGCAGTCAGATTTTGGAGTTCTAAAAAAGGACAGGTATGACGTATTTTTCATAAATACTTGTAACAAAATTTAAATCATCATTATAAGTGGTTGTTTGACATTGTAGGACCGAGAGCATGTTGGTGTTGCTAGCAGGCAACAACAAAAGTTTACGCACACAGTTGGATCGAAGAGCTTTGCTTGTATAGCTCATGAGGAGGTATTATAGATTATTGAAATAGTTTTTTTGTATTCCATGTACATACTAACTCATAGTAATTACATTATGGTACATTGTAGGAAAATACATCCGGTTCTAAAGTTGGTCGAATCCAACTCTTCGACATGACACATACGAAGAAGGATGGCACTCCTATGACTGCTGACGCTGCAGAAATTATGATACGTTTATTGGGTAGATGTTTTAAATTTACCTGACTTTATTTATATTTGTACCATGACATTTTTTATTAGGAAAAATTGAGGGAGAAAAGGGCAGAGTATCATGCTACTGCTTCGAGTCAAGGTATTGTTAATGATGATGACATTGAAAACCAAGCTATTAATGACGTTTTGGGTCCTGAAAGATATGGTCGGGTGCGCTGTCAAGGATCATTCGTTACTCCCACCAAATATTTTGGATCCAGTTCATCACAGTACATGTCATCACAGTCTCGATCTTCCCAATTAGAAGTTGGTCGTTTAAAAGAAAAGTTGGCTGAGATGGATCAACAAATGGCTAACTTGAAAGCGGAAAATGAAGCAAGGGAAACAGAGAGAGCAGCAGCGGAAGCAGCTAGAGCAGCAGCGGAAGCAGAGAGAGAAGCAGCGGCAGCACAGAGAGAGACAGCGGCAGAACAGAGAGAAGTAATATATCAGCAGAGATGTAAAGAATTTGAAAAACGACTCAATGATATGATGCTGATGATACAAAAAACGCAATCTCAGAATCCACCATCGTAGCCTCATTTATGTTATGAGCATTATGTTAATGTTACTGAACCGTGTTTAACTTAACTTATATTACGTTAATGAAAACTTTTATTTATTATATTGGATTTGATGTTATTGTTGTTTTGTTTGTTGGATAATGGAACAGGTTGAAAAAACAGATTTGGGGTATTAAGTATAATTTTTAGAACTGTTAAATTATGTGTTATTTAGCGGCGTTTGTAACAAAAATGCTGCAATATACCATACATTTAGCGGCGTTTTTGATAAAAACGCCACAAAATCTCAAGACATATTCTGCGGCGTTTGTAGGAAAACGCCGATAAAAATAAACATCTACTGCGGCGTTTTTGAAGAAAACGCATCAACGACTATTGCGGCGTTTGTCTGTCAAATGCCGTTAAATATCAACACCTATTGCGGCGTTTTAATGCTAAACGCCGCTAAATATCAATACCTTTTGCGACGTTTGTTGAACAATCGCCGCTATATGTTGTAACCTATTGCGGCGTTTGTTTTTACGCCGTAGGTGTTTTTAGCCTATAAGTAAAAAAAACGCCGCAATAAGCCACTTTTGCTGTAGTGTGGAAACGAGTTGAGGTCTGTAGCTATACAATTTCTTTAAAATAAGTTTTTGACAACTCCTTGATGCTCGAAATCTTTGGTCGTCTGCCTCCCAGGTTACAACAATGTGATGATTAGCGCACAGTAGCACAACTGTAGAGATCACAAACTATATCTTGCCTCAGCCTACTACTACTGAAAACTAAAGTGGAAGAAAAATATATTTTTTTGAGTTGTGTTTAACATAGTAGGTTTACACGCTATGTATAGGGTTTCACATAGGAGAATATTTAGAAATAATATATTCTAAAAAGTAAGCTCTTAATGGGTATCCGAATAAATTCAGTAGTAATCTATTAATATCGTATTTAATCGACAGTATACCACCCCGACGCGATGAAACGTAAACTCTTTTCATCCACAATAATTCCAAATATATTTTCGTGAACTACAAGACATACCGCATCAATATTTGAATTTAACGAAAACGCGATATATCCTTTTAAATCAGAATATTCAAAGAGATATGTCACATTTAAGGAAAAATTATAATTCATAGTGGGTAAAATGTTTAAAACCTAAAAAAAAATTGAACAAAAGATATATACGAACACATATGATTGTACCAACAAATGAACCACAAAAGTGATCAAACTATTAAAAACTCACCGACAAATCGCAAATCAAAATCAAGCGACGTGCGAAAACTATCAACGAACGCAAATCACGTATCCAAATTCAATAAGAGAGTATAAAGCAGAGAATATCAGCATTATAACAAATAATATCATCTTGATCAGTCATAACAATGTCAAATTTAACCTTTTAAAAAAAGATAAATTGAAACAATAGCTAAAATAACGAAAACGTGTCAAAATACAGAGAAAAATGTACAAAAAAAAAACCAAAGAAAAACTTGTTATAAAATCAGAGTTATTAAAAACTAGAAAAGACAAAGAAAAAGCAAAGATGATATGATACGAGGAAATAAAGAAAAAACAAAAAATATCGATAATGTTAATCAACATTAAGACTAGCGTTATCGTAAATCAATAAAAATGGGGAAAAAATTAAACGGCATTTAGAATTTTAAAGAGAGAAAAATTAAGCGACTAGAAAACCTAGGACGAAATTTATTTGATTAAATTTTTATATAACCTTGTTTGTGTGATCAAACATAATGAAATAGACTAAAACCGTTCACCACAATAAGAGCTAATATAAAAATTAATATTATAAAAATAAAAAAATATCATCTTTATTAAATTAAAATAACATTAAATCTCAGATTGCAGCGTTATAAAGACTAAAACCATAATTAGATTATAAAGACTAAAACCATAATCAGAGCTTAAAAGAAAGAAAAATAAAAGAACGCAAGGGTGAAGTGAAAGAATAAGAAAGCGTGAAGAAGCAAAATGGTTTGCTACAACAATCGAAAAGCGATCAACTGTTTACCATTATTGCAAGGGTATCAATATTCGATACCATTATTGTCCTTTTGCACGACAATCAGGTTTTGTTTTCGTCTCCAGACATCGTCTTTTTTTCATTATTGTCCACTCTTTCAAGACGATTCGGAATGCCGTAGCCAGTGCCAAGCGAATAGCATATACTCATTCGTAAAATATTCTCCTGTTCAATGTTTGAATGATGATTACATCTCCGTACGAATATGAGTCAACATCAAATGATGCGGTCTTAATTCATTTGCTTGTGTATATGCTTTACACACAATCGGTCTTGCAAGCTGTATTTGATGCTTTCACAGTTGAGTGAAGAACAGAAATTGCTAACAGGATTTCTGTTTCAAATATTGTGGACCATCTCCGCTGAAAACAAAAATTTTCCACATTCCATCAAGTTTAATATTATACTCTTTATTTTTCTCATTTTACCTTTTACGCCACCAAAAAAAAAAACAATTTTTCTACATGTAATATAATCAAATCCAAGTTTAGAGAATGGATCTTCCTAATCCTGGGATCCTTCATCAATCTTTTCATCAGTATGCCGAGTGGGGCTCTTCAGTTCCTTCTCATCTGCATTATCAACTGTGGATTCAACACCATTTTCTACCGCAGCAGGCTGAGGCACGTTGCCATTTTCGGAGGTGGTTTTCTCCTCTCCGTTACTAACAGGTTTAGGGGGTTCCTTTAATGAAGAGATTGTCAACAGCCGACCAACTCCTTCATATAAACTCTTTGCATCCATGATAAGAGTGGCTCCACCAGGATAACAGCGACCGAAGCATGTCGCGCAATGTGGGAAAACAACCTAAGAAATGAGGGAAGTTTGTTAGTGCATGAAAAGTTTGTCAAAAATGCTTCATAAATACAACTTGCACGAGATATAATCTGCCAGATCTCATTAGAATGCACCTCGATGAATGCTCGGCAAAGAGAGAGGAAAAGCATGGACTCGTTTTCTCTGAGCATCCGTGTTGCATTGTATCTCAGTAGGGAGTCAGAAACAACCTGCAATCCTTTAATTAATTCTTGAGCAAGAACATTCTTCAAACTTACTGGGGCACAAGGGCGCAGTTCATTCATTGCGGCAGAAACACCTAAAAGTAAATCACCAAAGAGACGGATAAGTTGATGTCGTAGAAAGCAGAAAATCAATTAAAATTCAAGGATTGAATGAGAACTATAATGAGTGTGGTTTTGCAAGAAACAGTGGCAATAATCAGATTTCTCAGGAAACACCTCAATTCCTTACAGTCCAGTTCTATAAACCCGACGACAATGAGCCACCAAAACTTTAAGAAAAGAAAAATCAGTTCTCTTTTGCCTTTACAATCAAGACAAGAATATTGAGAATGAAAATGGTTTCCACCTAAAAGTCAGATTGTTTAGTACAACCTAACCAGCACCCTCATGACAGCACTAGTGTCATTTATTCCTCTCAATAGTTTTACCCAAACTTTGAACCATCAAAACTTCAACTCAAGAAATAAGACAGGTTCTCTTTTTCCGTTTTACTCAAAACAAGAGTAACCGGTATGAAAAAAGCTTAAACTTATAAGTTAGAAAGAGTACTGCAACCTAAACATACTCCCTTGGCAGCTCTAGTGTCATTTATTCCTTTGATAGTTTGTTGAAACCATTTGTTTTCAAACAAACTAGCTATCTTAACAAATTTAAAGGTATTGCATCAGTCAGAGGTGAAACTTACCATTAACAAATACTGCAAGAGGTGGATGCTCCATTAGATAAGATGGCGGTGTTACATCCTCTTGACTTTCTTCACTGATGCTAGTGGCTGAAAAGCCTACTGCCGGCAATGGGACCCAACGATGTGAATCCAAAACTAACTGGAGCCAAGTAAAACAAGTTACTAATCACCAAGTTGTAGATTGCTTTCTTCAGGCAAAAGCTGGGCCCAAATTGTAACACTTGGGCGACTAACCCATTTGAGGACTAGTAAAAGGAGAATCCTAATTTTGTGCATTGCCTGCATACCTGAAAGTTTTCAACTGCTGTGTTCATATTCTTAGAGAATAAAATGAGCACCGCCCTGTAAAGTTGTGAAGTATATGTAATCGATGACATGGGTAAAAAGTAGACGAAACGACACAAAGATTAAAATGTGTTTACTCTTCAAAAAGAGAAGGAAGCAAGCCTCGAAAATCCAATCCGACCCAACCAAGACCCATTGCACAATACTGTCAACAACAAAGATCAAAAGCATCATTAAATCGGATCCAACATAGTTTCTTCTTTCACAAGAAGAACGACCATAGTAGCCACTTAGAAGCAATATTTCTTTTCTTCCATTATCTACATTCTGAATGAAGTGGTATTTGATAGGAAAAACACACACAAAAGCAAAGCTGCATTATTGCAAATTTGAAACCAGGCTATATTTCAGATGCTCAAATGCAAAAATAATTTGATTGCGGGCTTCTGTAGGCTATGATAATTTCAAGTTGTCATAATGATTAAAAATCAAATGATTGATGATACTTCTCCAATAGCATATACTATATGAAGAAACAACTATACTTAATAGTGAATAATAACTTTAAGGAAATGAAGTCATGAATATTAGCAAATATTACAATTTTAAAATTTACTTACCATACACTGGTCCAGAATATTTGATAGCGATCCACCTTCTGTTATCTTTGGAAGCATGACTTTAAGAGTTTTAAGGTGTGAAGTAATTTGATGCATGGCCCAACTAAAAAGAAGCCCACCGTCATAATTTTCTTCACTTGCAGATGTATCGTCAGCAAATATTGCTCGATATTGGTTAACAACATCGAAAAGATGCATTCTGTGACAGCTTATCATCCCTTTTAGATACTCATAAGCATTTCTCTGGTCCAAATCCTCAAGAATCCCAGTGAGCCACGTTTCTCGGCATCTCAAAAACTGAACCATTAAATAATGTCATCAGAAGGGAAAAGAAAGTAAAAGAGAACAGGGGATGGGAGAGTGAACCCAATTATAAAAATGTGGGGATGAAATGGATGAATTAGCTTTGCGATGTTACCTGTAACCGCATTTCATACTCACTAAATACGCCTATTCGGCGTAAATATCCGATAATCCGAAGGCATTCTGGTAACTGCAAACATAGACCACTAGCTGACTAAAACCACAACTAAAATCAAATTCTGCATTTGTTCAACCCCTTCCAAACAAATACCTGAATATTTGAGCGAAGCTTTTGGAGAAGCTGAGAGAGAAGAGATTGGGTTGTCTGCCTAACTTCTGCAGCCAGTGCTTGAATGACAGGTATACTTTCAAGCAGAGGGAAAGCATACCTCAGTCAACTGTCTTCCAAATGGTTCATAATGAAGGAAATAATAGGGATTAACTCACTTGGGGTGCATGGTTGAGAGTTTGCAGACAAAGGCTTCTAAATCAAGAGCTTCATCATAATTTCCATTTCTTACGCATCTGTTGAAAATTGAATTTAATGATCCATTCAAGCATGTATTCTATGTTACTTAGTGCTTCACCGTTTATAACTTATTCAAAACACTTACGTGTCCATGAGCTGAGGAATTTCAAGCAAATCAAGCAAAGTACTGTGATTTGCTAGCAGAGTCTGGTTCATCTTCCTCTTCTCCAAAATCTGTTCTGCAGATTCAATGAACTCTGTGCAACCAGATGTCAGGCTTGGGATCTCAGTAATCTGCAAAGATAAACCCCGCATATTAGCATATCTGCAGAAGAATTTGAGAATTCTAAGGATCAAAAAACAAAAATTAGAATATCAATGCATCATGAATTCTCCATCTTTACATGATGCCCAAATCATGTAAAAGAGAAGGTCAATCCTTTTTGTCTTTTATAAGAAGTTTCCCACTTTTTCCTTCTCTAACTCTGTGGTTGCCATGAGATTGTTACCCACCTTTTAAAAGTAGAGTAACCTTGCCAAAATCCCATTGACTATTAACATTTACGAGTTTTACCTTCTTTATCCGCTCATGGATTCTTGTATATACACACAGAGAAAGTGAACACATCAGATGCAAAAAAGAGTTTACATGTGCTAATAATTCATAAAACTGGGAGAGATCAACTGTAAGCCGTTTGCCTTATGATCCAAAAGCCAAACATTTCCAACAGATTTTCATGTGAAACATTAAAGAGTGTTCAAAGCTCCCTGAAAACAATTGTTGGATCTCCTTGAATTTTAGTCCCCAGATTCGAGTAACAAAAATTAAAGGAAAATAAAGTTTATAAGAATTAAGCTGCATGCATTTTAACCTAAATTTGAACGAATAAGAAAGGTAATTACCATAGATTCGAGATGCTTATCAATAGAAGATACTTCCTCTTTGATTGCAACCAACGCATCAGCTGCAGAAATAAAAGCGCGGTAATTACCAACCGCAACTTCTTGCATTTGCCTCTGAATCCTTTCCGCATCGACTTGAAGAAGCTCCGGTTCCTTTCCGTTCAGGGAAAAAAAACGATTCAATCTAAAAAAACAGAAACAAAAAAATAAAAATAAACGGACCTTATGAAGGCGATCGAGAGTGAAGGAGAGGAGCTCGGAGACATAAGGCTGCTGAGAGACAGAGGCGAGGGGGAAGAGACTGGCCGTGGCGGAGGTCGGAGACGCCGGTGAGGAGACGAAGTCATGTCCGTTCTCTAGTTCCATTATCATCGTCAAATTAGCGTTTAGTTGGGTCGTCTTTCGGAGAGAGAATCAGATCCAAGATCTGATCTAACGGGGATTTGAATAAACTTTGTTATCCTTCTGCTTTGAGGATAGCTTCGGTTTTCTGGATCTGAAACACTGAGGGTGAGTTATTTTACAAGTACATACATATTTGAGGTAAAGTTATTTTAACTCTATACACAGATTTAAGAAAATGCCGTATGTTATTTCAAATTCGTTGCGGTCAAAATCACAACGACTGATGGTATCGTATTTATTTTTTAAGAATTTTTTTTAAAAATATAGTATTCGCGCGAACGTATTAAAAACAAGTATTACCACGATCACGACCAGACTCGTCTCGTCTCGTGGTTGTGGTCGTGATAATACGTGTCTTCGATACGTCCGCACGAATACTATCTTTTTAAAGAAAATTCTTAAGAAACAAATACAATACCACCAGTCATTATGATTTAAACTATCGCAACAAATTTATAATAAATCGCATAAAGAGCGAAGAGTCCGTGGGTTTCATATTTGGCCCATAAACCCTAAATACAAAGCCCTCCACTTTCAAACAAAAAAAAACCCCACAAATTAGCCTCAAACAGCTACTTCCCTCTATGCCTTCCACTGTAGATATTTCGTAAAAACCATAACCATAAGAAAACAAAACTGGATAAAGTCACAAACAACTCCGGCACCTTATCCCATCTCTCAAGTTATCCCTTTAGAAAAGCTTATGTCCAGGTAAGCTCTCTCTCTCCAGAGAGAAGCCTCATTTTGAATACTTTTATAATTGGTTATTTTGGTAAAGTATGGATATGATTGTGTATGCGAACCATGCCAATGAAGGGTTTTGTTCTTACCTTCACAGGGAGTGTCTAAGAAATTGTAACTTTTTAGAATCTAGGGTTAACAATTTTCGTTATGTGAAAGTTTCTTTGGGCTGTAAACCTTTACAGTTCCAATTGCGAAGGTGGTGTAAGGTACTTGCTTTTTCCAAGGTTGAAAATGCCGGTGTTAATGGTAGGTTGCAAAGTTATGAAAGTTCCCAACAAGGGGATTTTGGGAATGGTCATGTTTTGTCTAGTCCATCGAGTTCCATTCATGGCTTTGAGGAATCTGGTAGCAATAATCAACTGCGTAAATTTGTTAGAAATGGTGAATTGGAAGAAGGGTTTAAGCTTCTCGAGGGCATGGTTTATCATGGTGAGATTCCTGATATTATAGCTTGTACTAGTTTAATTCGTGGATTTTGTAAGAGAGGCAAGACTAGAAAAGCTACCCGGGTTATGGAGATTATCGAAGATTCGGGGGCTGTTCCTGATGTCATAACTTACAATGTGTTGATTAGTGGGTATTGCAAGGCAGGGGAGATTGGTAATGCTTTACAAGTTCTGGATCGGATGAGCGTTGCTCCTGATGTTGTTACGTATAATACGATCTTGCGTAGCCTGTGTGATAGTGGGAAGTTGAAGCAAGCGATGGAAGTCTTGGATCGACAATTGAAGAAAGAATGTTATCCAGATGTGATTACATATACGATTTTGATTGAAGTGACTTGCAAGGAGAGTGGCGTTGCACAAGCTATGAAGCTCTTGGATGAGATGAGGAGTCGAGGATGTATACCGGATGTAGTTACTTATAATGTTCTGGTCAATGGGATTTGTAAGGAAGGGAGATTGGATGAAGCAATCAAGTTCTTGAATAGCATGCCATCATATGGGTGCCAACCCAATGTGATTACTCATAATATTATTTTGCGTAGCATGTGTAGTACCGGTAGGTGGATGGATGCAGAGAAATTGTTAGGTGATATGCTTCGTAAAGGTTGTTCCCCTAGTGTTGTTACATTCAATATACTGATTAATTTCTTATGCCGAAAAGGTTTACTGGGCCGAGCAATCGACATATTGGAGAAGATGCACAAACATGGCTGTACTCCTAATTCCTTGAGTTATAATCCATTGCTCCATGGGTTCTGCAAGGAAAAGAAGATGGAGAGGGCAATCGAGTATTTGGAGATAATGGTGTCTAGAGGTTGCTACCCTGACATTGTGACCTATAACACTTTGCTCACAGCATTATGCAAAGATGGGAAGGTCGATGTGGCAGTTGAGATACTCAATCAGCTAAGTAACAGGGGTTGCTCGCCTGTTTTAATCACTTACAATACTGTGATCGACGGGCTCTCAAAGGTCGGGAAAACAGATCAAGCGATAAAACTTTTGGATGAGATGCGTGCCAAGGGTCTAAAGCCTGATATAATTACCTACTCTACACTTGTTGGAGGACTTAGTAGGGAAGGAAAGGTTGATGATGCAATAAAGTTTTTTCACGACTTTGAGAGAATGGGTGTTAGGCCAAATGCCATAACCTATAACTCCATCATGTTAGGCCTTTGTAAGGCAAGGCAGACTGATCGAGCTATCGACTTTTTGGCTTATATGGTGATGAGGGGATGTAAACCTACTGAATCTACATACACTATTCTCATTGAAGGCATGGCATACGAAGGCTTCGCTAATGAGGCGTTGGAGTTACTAAACGAGTTGTGCTATAGAGGAGTTGTGAAGAAAAGTTCAGCAGAACAGGTTGCTGTCAAGATGTAGACTATGGTGCATATGCATGCGTTTATTTTGTTCTTCCTCGGGTGGCAAAAGGTCAATTTTCGTCTATATATGCTACTCTCCCTGTTAAGTGCAATTTTGGTAGATAGCCATGTTTACCCTTTCTACCCGTCATCTGCTACGTCACTCTTTAAGCTTATAAATGCTTTCTAATTATCATGCCCATTTTTTAAATTTCGAAAGAATTAATTACAAAAAAAAGAGGTTATTTCAATTCCATGCAAAACTTATATAAAAACACCACAAATCACACCAAAACAAAATTTCCAGTCTCAAGATCACACCAAAAGTTTCTCAAGATGTAACAAGTAACCGTGGATTGGGTTTTGCTTCCTTATAATATTTGGCTAGCTCTTCTTCCTTCCTTCGGATATCATCTCTGGCACCATCTCTTACGCGTGGATCCTCTGATTTCAATAACTCTTTCAATTTCATGATTGCCTTCACTTTGCTCTGCATCTGAATTTCATGCATAATATGTTAGTATTTTAAATTTGAAAGAAGAGAGACATAATAGGGATGAAAACAAACCTTTCGAAATGGCCACCTTTTCTTCACACCTCCATGGCCTTTGCACCATATATTGTGAATTGCTGTTTCTGATAATCCCATTTTCTTCGCTGCCTCCCTTCTTGTAAGAAGAAAATAATCTGATAAATCTTTTATTGTTGTCTCTTTCACTTTCTTTCTCTATCATTACATTATACAAGTTAGAGAGGCTAATTTCCGAATTGAATTCAATGACAAACTCAACGGTTTCGAATACCTTTTCTGCCAAGGAAATTGGATTCTTGTTGTTGGCTGCCTCAACCTGGCCATTACCGCCTGCAAAACAAGTTCAGAAGATCTTACCTAATGTAATTCAATGCACTTATGTCTCAAACATAAACGTTAAATTCCAAGAAGAGTAGGATACCTGGCTGAGCCCCATTAGCCACTTTTTCATACCAATCAAAACCTACAGTTAGTGCTTCAAAGAAACTTGACTTTGGGTCTTTCATCATTGTATATCCTTCTTCCTTCCGCTTCATGCAATACTGTGCCAGAAACTGCTTCACTTCCTCAAAGCTTTTATCGTAGAAACTATTGCAAATAAAAAAATGGAGTTTTTTTATTTAATCTAACTAAGTTTTATATTTTAATCAAATTACAACATTAAATTAAAACTTACTCGAACATTTCACGAGATACTGCTCCGTTGCTTTGTTGAACATCAAGAATAGCATGAAATAAAAATCCAGGAAATCTTCCGTGTATCTCAAGTTTCGTTACATTTCTACCTATAACTAAAAAACAAAATATTATCATAAAAAAATCATAAATCGCTGCTAATAGCCAGACATGAAAACGAACCGTCGATATGAACGATTTCTCGCAGTATTTCGCAAAAATGACAATCGAACTGAACTTGTAGACTTGGCACCAAGTCTGTCCTTGTTTGATTATTGGTTTTTTCATTACAGATAAACCCTGAAACCGGAGGCATTAAAGAGGGAAATGAAAAGGGTTCCTCGATTTCGTTTCCCAAGTTTGTTTCACTTTGATTACTCATTCTCCACTTAATCATTGAAGGATCGGGTCGAGGATTCTCAAGAAATAGATCCATTAAAAGATTATCAACATCAGTGGCACCATTGTTCGAAGACGGTAATAAAATCAGTTCCTGAATTTCTTTACCAGTTCCCCCATTAATCCCAAACGGGTTCAATGGAGAATACTGCAAATCCCTGGATTCAATGGTGCTTGGAAATGGCAATAAAGCAGGTTCCTGAATCTCATTTCCCAAATTTGTTTCAATTCGAGTACTAGTTTCCCCATTGAATCCGAATGAATTCAATGGAGAATACAACAAATCTGGGTTATTTTGAAAATTCCAAAGTTCCGGAACTTGTGATGAACCAATACCAATGACATCATTGTTTTCATGAGTCAACCGAGGGTTCAAGTTGTTGAGTATGTTCATAAAGTAATCTGCATATGGGGTGTTATAGAAATGATCAATGTTTGGATCCGTCATACCTTGAAGAACTTAAAAAGTTTGGCCTTCGTTGATGGCGTCAGAAAGGAAGCGCCACCATATGAAGGGAGAGAGGATTTTAGAGAAACAAATGAAAATTGAAACTAAGAGCCATTGTTTCACATTTGTTTAAATATACGTGGGAAAGGGCAATTATTGACCGTTGTGAATTGAAAGACACAATTGGTAGTAAGGACATGACATTTGCTTAAAGATACACACCTTTTGGAAGCCTTGATCAAGTTATGTCGTCTTCACCATAAAGATTAGGATAAACTACGTATTTAGTCATCTAATTATTTTTGTGTTTTGTTTCTATCAACAACTTGTTTTTAAAATCAAACCCAACATTGTGTTTTTTTGTATTGATCACCCATAATTAAAAATTAAACAAAACTACTAATGTGACAATATTTTTTTATTTTTTTAATTACGATGTGGCATTATCTTATGGTAACACATCAATGTCATTATTAATGTTTTAACAA